AGACTATAGACATTCAAAATCGAATTTTCAGAATTAATAATGAATCTGTTTTCAGAGCTCATTGGTCAGATAAATTAGTGTCTACATTATGTGTAGTACCTTTATTATACCTATATATGTATAATATTTTGATAACGGTGAATATAATGTGTAAGATATACATGGGTACCAATCGGAAAACACTCGTTGTTTTTTAAGTGCCAGAGTACGAAAATTACTATGTATACATATTCATATTACATATTATATAATATGTACTTATGTTTTTTATTGACCAATTTGAGTATAAGACAACACATAAAGTTATGTAGTTATGTATAAGTCTACTTTATTATAGTTATGTGTTATAGAGTGTTACCTAATACCTATGACGACTACGGAGTGCTGTTTAACGCATATCATTTGGGTCGTTGTCTTGAAACGGACAGAGTAGTAGATCAAGATTGAACTGATAACAATGCATATGGATAAGAATATTTTTTAAGCTCAAAAATATGATAAAGTGTATATAATTAACAACGGTCGTGTGAAAAATATTTAAAAAAAAATCATTGTTAAAATAACGGAAACCAATCGTTTAACAACAAAGTACGAAGATATTAAAATACAATTTCTACCTGTCGTTGCGTACGACTCGCATTGTCTTGTACATAACGTGAACGATATCCACGGGACCTCACATTTCGGTTTCGTGCGTATTGGTGCCTGACAAATCAATAACCACCGACAAACCGTGCGATCGGAAGTCGACGGAAATCCGCCGTTAGTGCCACGCCGCCGGTGCGTATAGGTTTATACCTATACACAAACACGTGTTTGGCCCCCAAACAAAAAATTATAGTAATAATAAAAATACCGAGAATATTGCGATAATATTAAAACGAGAAGAGAAGATGGAAAAAAACAGGTGTATGCAATCTCAGCGATGATGATGATGTTGTATGTCGTCTGTGGAGGTCGGAGGGGTCCTTCCCCTCGAGTTGTGTAATCGACCGGCCGTAACCGTATTATGAGCGCGCGAGCCATCATATTATCATCCCGAAAACCAGTAAGACCCTCAGGTCCATGCATATTAATAATTATTATAATATGCGTATAAACTGCAGTGAGAAACGAGTTAAGTCTGACAGACACGTAAGCACCGTCTACGGGTTCGCGGCATACCGCCTATATATTATATGCGTATACCTAGGTATATATATATATTGCATATTTATGTATAGGAAGACACCTTTATATGTATATTATATACTGGTGTAATTCACTGTTGCAGTGCAGACCGTCAGGCCCATCTGCACGTTTCCCGTGGGAATATGACAAGTGGTATTCCACCATAATGTAATATAATGTTATTATAATATAGTATATCAATATTATTATTTCGAATAAATATATTATATTATAACGATTTTCGTTTTTTATTTTTTGTTTTTGTGTATTTCAAATATATGTATAGGTAACTATCGAAAAACAGATAAAAGAAAAAAACAATTTGATAATTCAAACGTGATCCGAATGGTTTCGAGATAAACATCGAAAATGCGTGTTCATAATGTAAGCTTGTAGATCGGCGAGTACTGCAGCAGGTTGTAGGCAATGTATAATACACGGTTGGCAGAGACTTTAACGCTACGGTTTTGGCACTCGCATGTATCGGCAAGGCTTCTCACCATCAATCACGCACACGCACACATAGACGGTTCACACACGCACACACACAACAAACACAACAATAATATTATAACACATTCTCGTCTCGTTTGTGTGAGTGTCGTACGTAATGTGTGAAACATCATCGCGCGGCCGCCAGACAACTGCATGACCAATGATCTGGATGTGTGCGGCGTGCAGCAAACATACGATGGGAACCGAAGTAAATAATAAAAATAATATTAAAAGTATTTTTATATTTTGAATTATTATTATTATTTTTATTATATTTATTTTTCCATGCCACCGTAAACGTCTTATTATTCTTTTATATTCGTCTCGTTGTTATAATAATAATACATTTATATGTCTACTATGCGAATCAAGTGCAAAAATTAATAACGTGTCTCCAAACGAATAGCGTTTACTGCACGTATTACGCGTATATATATACGGAGCGTGATATATAGCTGTATAAGGCCGTACGGTGATGACATACGCGCGCTGGAAAAACTGTGCTGGGAAACCTGTATTGCGCCGTTTTGAATTATTATTGCCAACTGCTACTGGCCGGATGCTGACCGTTTGTTTACGTCGAATCGCGCTACCTATTATTATTATCTTTATGTATCATTTTTTTTCTTCTTTTATTATTATTCTCTGAGATACAAGTTTTTTTTTTTAATAAAAGCGATTTTTTTTTTTTGCTGTCGAATGAATATTTCCTTCGTCGAAGATGTAAGTAACGAGACGTCTCGATGAATTACTAAACGTTTATGGATTAGTCATCCGAGACGATGGCCGACCGGAGGTAGGTAAATACGACCAATTAAAAATTGCATCTATGTATAAATATATATTTTTTTATGTTTATAGGTACGGTCGTTAACACTTCAAAGTCGAGTATTTTTTTTGGAATGGAGTACTGAGGATATTATTATTAGATTATGGATGTGTGCCGATGACAGCATGAGGCGATTTCATAACGACCCGTTATTTAGGATTTTTTTTACGACTATTACAAAACTGGTTGTCCGGTCAGTGAATGACCTTGTTCGATCGTAATTATATTAAAACTTTTTTTGCATTAATACAAATATGCATATATATGCATATGCAAACGATGAGCTATCTGTCATACTTCCAAAATATTATAATGAGCAAAAGAAAATAATTTCACGGGTGCTAAAATCGAACAATAAAATTGTTGAAAAGCTAAACAAACATTCCGTAGTTTTTGAAATAATTATCATATTATAGTTATTATATCTTATTTACGAAATTTGGAGATTTAATTGTACACGTTCACCGATCGATAAAAAATATTGTTGTAAAAAGAAGTTGATATGTAAATTTGAAATCCTGTTTTAAAAAAACATATTTTTATTTGTTTATAATGCAGAAATGCATTATAACTGCAGGCGATACCGCTAACGATATATTTCAATTAAACTGAACGGTAACAGCTATACAATTTCATAATAATTGACAATATATTTTTCATACATACAATGTTTGAACCTAAACTTCACGACTAGCTATACTGTTTACTGCTTTCACAAAAACGTTAGTTTGTCAATTTTTTTATCCCTTCTAATAAAAACAACACTACTCTTAAAGATTACACGGGGTTGTGAAGTATGTTATATTTCGATATTTTTAAGAAAACCACTGAAAAGTGTATAAATTATTTTATATTCGTATTTACTTTATGCTTAAATACAATTTTAGGTGATGTCAACTAATCAATAGATGGTAACATGTTTGTTCTAAAGAAAAGGAGTGTTCTGCTCCTTTTGTCAGAAAATGTGTACATAAAAAAATAATTCAATCAAATCCTATTATTGTAAAACTAATGAAAAGATCTCATTTAAATTATAAGCTTTATGAATATACTTCCGCATAAAAAAGTTGAAAATTAAATGATAGAATCGGTACGTATTGATGATCAACCAATTTCGTTTAGATACTTAATATAAAGCTTATAATTTGAAATTCGTTGAAATTGAAAATGTATTTTTTTAACTTCAGTTTTATTAGTATTCAGCTTATGTATTTTATGTTTATATGAGATAGACAACATATGTACCGTTTAATTATTATATATTTTATACCCAATGTTTATTTTGAATTTTTTATTTTTCATAAGCAGCTAAATGTAATTATGTTTATATTGTGGGTTTTGATTATAATATTATTATGAACTTATGTGTAAAATAAATTAGTAGATATTTCCATCAAATCGGTTTAATTTGGTTGTGGATATATATATAAAAAACGTATATATATACGTTTTTTAGACTGTATAGTCAGTTAATAGTTTGTTACAATTGTAACAGTTTTTGTTTGATAGTGAGTAAAATATATTTCTTTGTTTAGGAGGTTATTTATAATAAATTTATGCTAACTACTATTTTTCTAATATAGTACATTTAAATGTATGATTTAATTAACTTGTATATTGTCTGTATCAGAAAATCAAAAATCAGATACCAATACGCCGTTTTTCGTTAAATACAGATCATAATATTATACACTCACGGTTCAAATTATTATCGTCTCTATTTGGGCGCAGTTTTGAAATTTATATGAGAAAATTAGGAAGCAAATGTTTCAACAAATGTTGATTGCTGCAGAACTTAAGTTTATTAGCTACACTTTGCTAATATTATTTTTAAAAAAGGGTGAAAATGTATATTATTAATTATGATATTGTATAACAGTCTTAGATAGCATACATATCGATTGCGTTTCGCTGCAAAGCGGAAACAAGCATTTCAAACAGGGATAACAATTCTTTTTTAGCCGTATGATACTACATTGGTCGATTTAGATTCGTAAGAAATATAGTCTGAGTTGGTAAATTGCGTCCCCTAAAAAGTGTCGCAGTCATATGCTACGTAAATCGCTGCTTGGGTATTTTTGAAACGTGCCTACGTAAAACGTGTGCCAGGATAATTCTGTTGATTTCAGCAAAACAATTTGAAGATAAGTAATAATCCCTAACAGAAAAAAGAAACATAATGTAACCCTTTGTATAAATAAGAAAAAAGTATGAATTGCAAACAAAAAGATTACTCGTTTAGACTTGGGGGCTCGGGCATTGTCGTATCCCAATTTTCATCAATTGCTTAACTACCCTTTTTTTAATAATACGAGTTTATTTTTTAGTCATACAAATGACAAACAGCAAAACCAATAGCTTTGTTACTGACAGTTAGGTACAAAGTTGTAACACGTTTTCTTGTCTTATTTCAGAATGTACGGTTGCAAAAATAATAATAGCAATAACTATTCACATATTAATCCCATAATTATAATTTAAATATAATAACACAATGTATACTCACTCTTGACAGCTGCGGCCGCGGCGGCGACGGAAGGCTTGACGGGCGTCTTTTTCTTGGCGTCCGCTGGCGCGGGTACCGACGGCTTTTTAGACTTGGTCGGTGACGAAGACTTCGTCTTGGCCGGTTCGGCGACGGCTGCTTTCGGCCGGACAGGGATGTGTTGGTTGTCGGTGAACCGGACCTGTCCCCTGTCGGGCTTCGGGGTGGCTGCCTGCAGGGTCTGCGTGGCCGCCAGGAGGACGACCAGCGTCAACAGGCACATTCGGTGGCCGGCAATCATTTTGTACTGCTGTGCGGTGCAAGTGTTGTGCGCTTACGGGACGAGCTATTGTCCGTCTGTCCGTCCGTCTGTCTGTCGGTCGGTCTGTCTGGTGCGCGTCGAGTGTTTGGCGAAACGTTTTGCGGCCCGGACGACTCGTGTATGTGTGTGATGTGCACACCGACCGATTCGATTCGACGTGGTCCAGTGTCACGGTCGCGGATGCGTTTTTATATTTATATCGCACGGCGGCGGCGAATCCGTCCGCCCCTCCTGCACGCGGGCCGTGACCTAAACCTTGTCGGCCGCGCGACGTTTGGCACCGTCTCTCCCGCCGTCCCCGCGCGCGTACTAATTACGTGACCACGCTGACCGGGCGGCGACATTTTGCGCGTATTTTACAATAATATTATGCGCAGGTAGGTTTCCCTGTATCACAAAAACGACTCGGAGATCGCATGTCCCGATATCTCAAACCTTTTCCGGTGGACGTCTCTGCTGCAGCTGCAGTATTCAGTGCATACGACTGCGCATTTTTTACCTTTTTACATTTGAGAAAACACGACTCAACCACGGTTGAGCACAGAAAATTATTTTTATCGTTGCATTAAATTATTATAATTAATAATAAATTATACTATAGTTTAATACACACGGTATATTGTAAACAGTTAAATATTTTAATGCACCTATTTTTTTCTTTCGTGTCAGGCAATACATATATTTATAATTTAACATTTAATAAAGTACAACAAAACTAGAATATCAAATCAATGAGTAAAATAAAGTAAATTAACATAAATAGTAAATAAATATACCTACAATAAAAGGTATAATATGAAAAGTATTAGTAATGTAAGTACCTAAGTCATTATATATATTATATACATTAGACAATTAGGACATTAGGACAATAAATTGTAAATTTCTTTGAAACAGTATAAAATATTTGTAATGCGCAATCATGTATTCGTGTTGGGTTTTTTGCAAGTAAAATAAGTTAAAAAGTGCTCAATCGTGTGACACCCGTAGTATTTATAATATTATATACACGATGACATTATAATATTATATACACGATGACATTATAATACTATAGCTGCAGTGTTACCCACCTTTGCCAGGGTTAAAAGTTAATCTATCTTTCTATTAAGGAATCTTTATTGATTTAACTTTAACTGAAAACATACCAGTAGTTTCTGAGGTTAGGTATGTATTTATAGTAGTCTATAGAGAACAAATTGCAAAGAATCACTCATTTTTATATATAGAATATATATTTATAAGCCATATTATTGTGTTATATAATTAGATATTATGATGGGATTTTAATGCACTTTTGATTTTAAATATTCTCGGGGTAAACGCGAATAACATATTATGAAGTTAGTTTTGGTACTAATTTGATTCGCCTCTTGTCAGCGAATACATCATAATATGATATCTGAGAAATTTTATTTTGCAGTTTTTTTAAATTTTTAGTTATGAGCATTTCACCATTTTTTATCGTTTTTTATAGTATTTTATTTTAAATGTAGAAAAATTGTTTCCAGATTCCAACGGGATTTTATAAAGGTATCAAACAACGTGCAATTAATTACAATTTAGCTACTATTACATTTGAAATTCCGTATAAACCAAGAGCATGGGTTAGGTTGGGTCATCACAGAATACAACTTGATCAAACTCAACATCATCAAATCAATCTATTGTCAAATTAACATAACATACAATTAAAATAGTATATTTCTGCAATGAACAATACGTGTGACATTTTTAAGATTTTGTATAGGTACCCTCCTATAATATTTATGACGTAATTATAATAATTACAGATTGTTTGGTGCACTTTATAAAAGTGCATTGTTTTATTTTTTTAGGCCATTATTATATTTTTTTTATTTTTTTTAGGACATCAGGTTATTAGCCCTGCAAGTTATAGTAATATGCTAGTAATACGCGAGCCGCACTGATAATGTTTATATACTCGTACTTATTTCTATTTAATGTTGACGAATGTATCTCTGTATATTTCAGGTAATGTCTTAGCTTATTGTGCCATATGAAAATATTTTATCGACAAGTCAAGAGATCAATCGTCTACTTGTTGAGCGTACGAAGGTTCTACAGACTTATGGGACTGCAAATTTTGATTTTGGATACTCAAATTGATATCGATCGAATGTTATTTTTGTTTTTAATAGCTTAAATCATTTTAATAATATATTGTAGTTTTCAAACATACTTAATGAAGCAGACACAAACTTGGTACACATAATATTACATATTATATTATACAGTATGCGTGCGTGCAAACGTGCATACCTCTGACCTCAGATCTACTACATACAGGATGATACACTATATACAAAGCATGCCTCTTTTATTCTTTACTAATATTTCCTCAAATTTCGATTTTAGAAAATTTTAAGCTTACTTAAAGACCATAATATATGATATATCTTAAAAAATACTTTTTGTATACACTTAAGGAGTGTCTTGAACGTCCGAGGTGAACATAATATAATGGACAACAGTGTATAATTATATAGTTCTTTATAATGGTTTTACATAAAATATAAATTATATCATATTATGAAATATTTAGTCTTATACTCGTACACTTTTTACAAATTATAAAATGTTAAAATAATAATATTAGTTACCTACTATAATTTTAAAATCATAATATTACATTTTAAACCTATTGCCGTGGACTATTATCTTCAGATCTTAAAGGTGGGCACGACCATTGATTAAATATACACGTATACATTGTATATTTAATCAATTTATACTACATAAAGTTTAATTACTCAGAAAATACTCGTTCAGATTTCTATCTATATAGGTAGGTAACAACAAAAATGAACAGCTTAAAAATTTGTAAATCTAAAATAGTACAAAAAATTGAAGAGTTTGAAAACGTCGGTTTAACGTAATCCTTACGAATTCCTCAAATCAGAATTTCAATATACGCACGATTAAAGACAAATTGGGGGTGAAGTGGGCTAATCGCCCTGCATAATAATATTATGTTTTACCTATTATTGCCTATTATAAATTATAATGTATTTAACTCTAATAGCTGCGCTGGAACTCGTCGCGACGTTATTAGTGTCATTTGCGTCCGGGACGTCGTCGTGGCGGCGCGGCGAGTCGTTAATATTTCTGTCTCGCGCCGGTCATTAAATCCGATAGTAATAATAATAATAATAATAATAATAATAATAATAACATATAAAATAAAATACGCGCGTACGACCCGATCTGCGTGTCCGTCGCCGTCCCGCGAGTGTGTCGCCCTCCAAAACGGCGTCGCACGCGTATATACATACGTAATACAATACCTATATAGGTTGTGTAGTACACGCGTATAATATCGTCGTTTTTCGTGTGTACCTATCGATGTATGATGATAATAATATATTATGTTGTCTTGTACCCATATAATCGCGTACGATCGTGTGCTAAATACGTCACGTTTAGACGTGGATTCTATTATACGACGAGTCGGATATAACGAATAATAATATATGATTATGAGAACCTGCTCCCCGACGTACGCGACACACGCGACGATGATGTCGCTGCAGAAGGGGTCATTTACTTAGCATACTTACCTAGCTACTTACCTATCTAATGACATCAACATAGAAGACCTGAGAGCAACAAGACATCTCTATATTTTGTCATTGTTCGGGGCGGCCATTTCGAAATTCGTTATCCCGTTTAACGCTACAGAAAATAATTAACGAAATGAATTTGAACTCGGAAGAAAATAAAGTTGGATTCATAGCAGCTGCGTCGTGTGTCGTGTCGTGCGAGGGTGTGGTGACTCTATGATTATAACTGGTGATCAATATGATTTAAAAGTCGACCTGTAGTCAATTCTTGCAGGTATACTCGGTTGCAACTCGGTTATTACACGATACCAAAAATTAATGTCCAATCACAATGCAATTTGATCAACACGACGCGACACACGACGGAGTAGCGGTACTGTAAATCCGACTTAATCGGATTTGTATGGTTGTCGTACCAATATAAAGGTATTTCTTCCATAAAACCGTTTTCATGGAAATGTTAATTTCGGAATTATTGGGAAATGTCGACATGTTGTTGTCGTCAGGTCATTAATCATTATATTGCTCTCATATTTAATATGTCCATAAATAATGCACCACGAAGCACAGAAAATCTTCAAACTTCATTAATCGTATACATATGCACACACAAATCGCTGCTACGAACACAACAGAACACTGAAGAAATTTATACATTTTTATTGCAAGCAGTGTGCATTTATGAATCGAAAATTATACGGTGACTTGATTTAAGTTTTTCTTATTGTTTTATTGTATATTTTAATTATAAGTAGGCCAATAACTATAGATGAGTTCAAATGTCGTAGCTCTATAAAACCTTAAAAAAAAGCATTATAATGATTATGTATGATAGCGTATCACACTCATTATGATAATATGATATGGCTAGTAAAAAAAAATGAACTCCCAAAATACCTTCATAAGATCTCAAATTCTCTTACCGTACTTACCTACCGTGCGGAATAACAACATTTTAACTTTCGACATTTTTTTAACAAACAAAATACACAATATTATCAAATGATTTATAAAAAAAACGAAAATTACTCGACTAAACAGTTAACCCAGAATAATGCGAGTACCGGAGTACTGCAGTTGAAACAATAAAAATTACTACTACATGTAATTATTAATTGCTTATCCGTATATATACTATATACATCGATAAATTAAACATGACAAGATAAAATTAATTTCATCCATTCCCGCGGCCATTATAATATAGTATAAAATAAATACTAAATAGTAACCTTTCAAAATATATTCTGAACGCGTATGGAATACGACATGTTTTATAAAACAAAATATAACATTATAAGTCTGTTGACACAATTAATTAAATAAATAAGTAACGAAAGTCAAACAAAATATTGATTTTTTATCGTTACAATTTTCTAAGTTTTTACCCGTTGAGTGGAGTTGTGAACTAACATTTTGGGGAAGCGCCACTCTCCTCTGCTCGTCTAAACTTTAAATACCTACCCATAACTCATAAACTGCTGTACATTTTTGTTTTTTTATTACTCACAAGTCACAATTAAGAAAACAATTTTTTCCCCAAATGTTTACGATGTGATATAAAAAAATCACCCTGGATAACATTATTCAATGCTTACTA